AACGTCGAACGAGCAGTGATCCTTGACCGATCGACCATTCGTCGTTCTCCCTTACACTGAGCTCTGGCTCGGAGCTCGCCAGTGTAAGGGAAAACGACGAACTCTCAATTACGCAAAACGGATTAGGATATGACAAAATTTTTTACACCATCAGATGCAGAATTAAATACTCTATGAAATATGTGAAAATAACAAAATCGAAAATTTTTGACCATTCGTCGTTTTCCCTTACGACGGCAGAACAGGTGATTGGATGATGATGGTTCGTCCACAGCGTCATGGGCCAGTACATAATTTATGACAAAATGTCAGGTGGTGAGAGGGGTGTTATTTTTTGGTGTGATAGGGGTTGTGTGATATAATATTAATATAATAATATGGTGGCTGCGGCCGCGTTAGACAGGTGACCGTTTTACACAGTGAAATTATATTTAAAAAACGCAAGGGGGGAAATGGTAAGTGGCTGTTTGTTGAGGTGGCAGTCATGTGGCAGTCATGGCAGATTCGACTGTATTTCGAGTAGTACAGTGCATTCATGATGTAGTACACAAATCTTAGTGTATTACGGGGTGGGGTAGTTAATGCTGTATAGAATGAGGGTGGATGGGGGCTCCTTCTATAGTTGTTTTAAGTAAGTCTACATTTGGACATTAGTAAAACAACTCTGGACTCACTAAAGATTTTTTTAAAGTGAACATAATGTTGTTTAGTAGCCTGGTCAATTGTCTTTCAACACAGTAGTGTAGTGATAACTGAAACAAAAACCTTTACTGAGGTGTTTTTGGACAACATTCAATTAGACTTACTTGTGGCCTATGAAACTGATCCCAAAATTGTCTGCATCATGTTAGAATCTAATAAAACACCTTCCTTAATAAAAGCAGAGACACACCCACGCACATGTAAACAAATGTCTTGGTCAACTCAAACATGGCCGCCAAAGAACATGAAAGTTCGGTCTCTAGTCTAAAAAGGAGATAACTATGATAAATGTAGATGATTTCACTGTTTAGCCTATGGCTGTTTGGACTGCTTAATTTCTGGGATCGTAGAATTCTAAGTAAGATAAAAACATTATAACACATAGGGGAAAAGAAAACGGAAATAGAGTTAATGTCAGGTCCATCGATTTCGTTATGTCTTAGTTTCTATGTTTCTATGAACCTTGCCACTTGCTCTTTCAGTTTAACTCGTGAATTTCATTTTTTTTTTCCTAGACCACCACTACCCAGAGGAGAGAAGGCTGAATGCGGCACAGCTGGAAGAGCTGCACTCTCTTTTCGATTTGAATGTGCCTGTTTGAAATATTCGGGAACATTTCGGTAATAAATATGGGATTCCCATAACAGAGAGAGACATAAGAAATTAAAAGACAGCCAGACGCCCAGTTTTGACAGAAGAAAATCAACTGTGGCAAGAACTTAACAGTCTGGCCCATTCAGATGGTGTGAACACCACAATAATCAAAGATAATGCTGATGATAAAGTTTCAGTCATCTTTTTACAGACTCCACAAATGAAAGCAATGTGGAGTAAATATTCACAAACCTTATTTATGGACATCACGTACAAGGTTAATGCTCGAAACATGCCACTGTTCGTTTTTCAGGTCAGTGATGGGCAGAACAGGGGCCAAGTTGTGGCATATGCCATTGTTACCGATGAGCGTTCAAACACTATTTGCTCAGTGTTAGACATTTTTATTACAAACAATGACTGCTCTCAGCTTGGAGCAGTTGTTATTGACAAAGACTTTTCGGAGCTCAAAGCAGATAAAGAAAAATTGCCTGATGTGGAAGTCGTACTATGTAAGTTCCATGTCTTGCAAGTTTTTCAAGAAAGAGTGAAAAGTGAGCAACACAAGACCGCTGTCTTAGACATTCTCCGAGGCATGATACGCTGTCGGACTGGAGAGGAGTATGAATTGCTGCTGTGTCGTTTGGCAAGTACGGCCTGTCAATCGTTTTTATCCTACTTTCAAAGTAATTGGACTTGGAACTCCATACCGACATTTTGGGTTGGTTGCCATGTCCGTAATTATTTGCACCATGGCAACACGACCAACAATTTTGTGGAAAACCACAACGCAGGGTTGGTGATTTTTTAAATTTTAAAAATAAATTTTTAAATTTTAATCAGATTTTAAAAATTTAA